ACTTGGGCATTTTTATATTAAGGAACAAACGAACCTTTACTCTGAGCCGTCAGTTTGGCTCCAGCAGCCGCCAGGAGGGGGTTGAGGTCACTGATTGGTGATGACGTCATGATGTTCCCACCTAGAGTCTTTTCAGGGAAAAATGGGGTTCGCTTTAGTGTCATGTGCAAGAAAATTATAACTATTAAGTACTGAAATGCTTATGAAAAGCAAGAAAGTGTGAATGTTACTAGTTATGAACATCACTCACCGCCACATTCCTGATCTGTTTCCCGCCAAACCAACGCAGCATTTCCAAGATAGCGGAGAAGACTCGGGTGCGGTATTCTGGTAATAGAGGATACCGTTTTAGATAAAAAGAATAGTGAAAACAAATGGACTTCAGCATCAGCTAAATCAAAGTAAATGTTATCCCAGGAGCACCTGATTTTAGTGTTTTCCAGCTTCAAAACCACCTTGACCTATGAAACTTGCTGACCTGGCTGTGTGTTGACCTGTTCCCGCAACGTCTCCTCGATGTCAGACAGGGTGACGGAAGAGCCGAAGGTCACGCCCGCTTGCGTCACCGATACTACCGTTAATTCCGGTATGATGGTTGGGTTGAGGAGGACTGGGTAATTCTTGTTCTTGAATTTCACATCGATGCCTTTTTGGGGGGGAAATATTTGTGTAAGCGTGGACAGTATATATTATGAATACAAATGTAAATATCTCTGTTTATGCAGACACACACACAAACAGATAAAAATAGACGAGTAAATATGTCACTACCTTCACAGGCATGGAGCCACTTCTCTCCCTGCATAAAATTTGCAAACAGACACTTTTTCTTTCTCACCCACTTCTGTGTTTCCTGCCACAATGCAAGCCTCTGGATGTTCAGCTTTGAGGTCGAGGAGTTGGGCGAGTGAGACCGGCCTTATGTAGGATACTCGGGCTCCCTTGAACTCGAGGTACTGGCTGTCCCACTCATCTTGGGTCTGTGTTGAAGGCGAGAAAGAAGTAGAGGGTAAATAAACGTTGCGATAACCGGAAAGTTGATTTTTGTTTCTTTTTTTGAGATTCGGGATTGGTGTGTATTAGGAGGGCTGAACTTGGTACTTGTTCATCAGAGTTAATGTAGGAGATGGATTCGCTGTGTAATCTGAATCTCTAATGGTCTGTATTTATTTATCTCCGTGACTATGCCTCTTTCCATTTGCCTCATATTACCCTCATTATCACTGAAACAAATATCCGTAATCAATTTCCTTTAATAGTAACGGCAGACTGATCAGCTTGCGGAGAGTGCACCTTCAGTTCCGGCGGAAAAATCAACTCTTGGCTTGGGTCGTACGGTCGGAAATCCTCTGCATCGTAGAGGACGTGCGAGATGTCAGTTATTCGACTGACATCGCTGATGTCACCGTTTGAAGTCCCTTCTGCTACTTCATTCGATGTGGTACCTAAGAAAATGGTGAGTGCAGACAGAATTAGGAAAGAAGAGAGGTGGAATGGGCATTACTGTGAAGGTGACCAGGGAGAAGAGAAGATATAAATAATAAAACCATCATACTTTAAGTACCACATTGCATCCTGTTATTTTTCCGAACCTAGTCGACGGTTCTCTCTTCTCACAATTTGTTTTAAATACCACAGACCTTCCTGAGATTCTTGAGTCCTCAGCTTGCAACAGTCCTTCCTGCCGCATCCACCTCCTGCAGAGGCATCGGTGGTGAGGCCCCTGTACCCCTCTAAGATGGGTCGGTATCCTGTACATCGACAGAGGTTCCCTGTAAAGGATAAACGTGATAGGACAGCCAGACCACTTACGTAACAACCTTCACTGATAAGAATTCGAAAACACTCACTCAAGGTTAGCCTCTCCCACAAGGATTCGAATCCAGCCACTCTAGGTAAAAGAGAAACGGGAACTCAAGAGCTAAACCACTGCTGACTATACTAGCTCCATAGCAAGTATAGATCGTAGTTAGACAAGAGGATGGTCCCACAAGGATCTAAATTAGCTCTTTAGCGAGTATATATCTTAATTATATATTTTTGGATAGGTGTTCTAGGAGAGAGAGAAAACAAGTATTCATTTCAATATGTATTAACATAATCTGCATCAGCATACAGCCATCCTTCTACCTGTGAAGTACTCGTCGAGCTGTTCCATGGACGGCTTCGGGTGGTTCCTGAGCAGCGTGTACATGGACATGACGATGCCGGGCGTGCAGAAGCCGCACTGGGAGCCGTGGGCGCGGGCGATCCGCTCCTGCACCGCGTGGAGGCGCGTCTGCGTCGACCCGATGCCCTCCACCGTCGTCACCGCCAGCCCGTGCACCGCCGCCACGGGTATCAGGCAGGCCACGATGGAGTAGTGTCTGTGAGCAGTTTAGCAGTGTAGTCTTACGTTTGTTTTGTACACAGGTAGATATAAAAACATGTTTTTGTGATGTTTGTGAGTGTGTAATACTGATAATGGTAATGGTAACAATAATAACAATCATAATGATAATGATGCTACTGACGATAACAGTAACGATATTGATTATAACAATAACAACAACAGCAACAATAATGATAATGACAGCAATGATAACAATTACAATGAGACTAATAAAAACAATACAAACTATGGCACTAAAGATCAATAATCTGCGCTTACCTCACTTCATCTCGTCCTCGGTCATACTTCGACGCCATGACAGTACAGGCGCCACATCCTCCTTCTCCACAGCCACTCTTCGTCCCGCATAATCGTACTAAAAACAGATTTAAGGAAAAAATATAAAATGTTACATACTACATGGAATTGTACCATTATTTGGAGTCATAACAGACTGAACAAAATCAAGGACTGAAAGTTAGATTCCAGATATTAAATAGATTTATTCATCCATCTAACAAAGAAAGAACACTGGCGCTTCTGTTCTGCATACAGTTTGCCTGAGATATCCCACCATGATAGCGCCAGATCAGCCTAATAACCTCTTTATCCAATGATGCTCTCCAGCCAAGAATAAAATTAGAAATAATTGTAAATTCAAAAGGATTGAATGAAAACATTCGCGAAAAAAACAGCAATACAAAATTAATGTTATTGCTCTGTAGAACTTGATGTAAATCAACAATTGCGTTGAAATCCTTTCAAGAGAACAGTGCAGGGAAAAAAACAGCAATGCCTCGGTCTCAACACAACTTTGTAAAGGATACACTTTTCACGCAGAAAAGTCAGCAAAGTCATTTCTGGGTCGACATTCGGCTCTAGGACCTGTAATGGAAATCCATTCATTATAAATTGCATACCAAAATCAGAAAAATAGAGCTAAATAAGGTAATATTATTGTATATATGACGTCGGTAACTATACACCGATTGTCGCTTGATGGTGAATGTAGGAAGCAAACACTTTTCTTGCTCAAAATAAGAAAATGTCATTCTTTGAAGCAAAATTAACCTTTTCAGTCTCAGAAATAGCCTGTGAGCATGTTACAGTTTCTACATACGTCTAGAGGTGTGTCATCTTTCAAGCTTAGCATCACAAGGTACTTATCACATGTATAGTCAGATTCGTACTTGATCACTTAGATGGAATGGGCTATTTATAAGGTATTGGTAATATCGGCTTCTGGGTGAAGATAGGAAGTGAGGATTACTTTGCGTTTCTTTAGACTGTTTATGTTTCAAGTAATGTACTTTTATGAAAAATCTCCGACCATCAGTTGTTATTTGACTATGTCTAGTATCTATTACAGGACGTACAGATTTGGACGGCAGATGTTGCTAGTCTGGAGCAAATTTATTGTTGCATTACGAATACCATCTGCCCTATCTTTTGCATCAACATTTGCAACACATATCCATTTTCTTTCCATCTCTATGTTTTTTGTGAGGCCCATTGTTGCAATTAAGGGACCAGAGCAGAGGTTAGAAATAATGGGGCCAACTATAGATACATTTTTTTTGAGTTATAGAAAGTCAACCTTATAATTCCCAACTTACCAAATGCATTATTAGGACTACGCTCAGGTTAATAGCTGAAACATTTTCTGTTTTTTTTCTAATTAGATCGTCTCTAAATTGATTTATATTTTCACTTAGACAGACCTCGGAAAACACCTCACTACCAATCTCACCTTAAACGCTCACATTGACGAAACATACAGAATAAACACAGCTTACAACACTTGTACGTCCAACATTTGAGTACTGTGCGGCTGAATGAGACCCCTACGCCAAGCACAACATGAAACTGGAACAGGTTTATTACACACAATTGCACACGTACATCTGGTACAACTCACATAAGAAAACAAAAATAAGAAAAAAAACATGAACATAGACTTGCTCGAGACAAGCACACAAAGTCACAATCATATACAAGATCACATACAACCTTATTAACAATAACAGCAGCACATACAGAGTGATGAAATGAAACCCCTGGCAAAAGTGCAAGAGCTCCCTTCCCTCACTGAGGTGAAGCAACCTTTGGGTGGCTGCTTCAGAGGGATGAGCAAAAGGTTTCCAAACAATGATGTCCTGCAGGTGGAAGATCCCCTCTGGTCTCTCCCTAGGGTTTACACCTATACACGCGCTTGCCATGCCTCTGTCGAAATAACTGCTGCTACTCAGAACACTGCCTTCCCGTCCCGCCACTGGAACCGCCTTAAAGTTAGCTTCTCTCTCACTGTGGTAAATCAGCCTTTAGGTGGCTGAGGACTGTAGAAGTTTCCTTAAACAGGTGCAGGACTCCTCTTCCCTCTATATACACACATATATATACACATATATATATAGACACATATATACACACACACATATATATACACACACACATATGCACACACACCCACCTATGCACACTCACATATATACACACACATATGTATATATAATATATATATATACATATATATACAAATACACATACACACATACACATACACACACTTACACTACAAGTAGAACAACGAAGGGAAGTACAGGAAGAAACGAATATACGGAAGGCCTTTTCGCATCCATCAGGGTCACGTCGGTGATCATGTGAGCGACGACCATGGATAGTCCATTCGTTCTGCTTGCAATATGTTCGACATGAATTCCACACACACATACATACACACATACATATATATACAATCGGACATTTTCTTTCTTGTTTAGCATATATTAGGATTAACCGCGATTTGAAATAATTTATTGAAGAATCATTATCATAAAGAGTAGCAAATATACGATATCGTGTTATTTTCTAGATGGTTCCTCTTTTTTCAAACCACTCAAGTTCTGGGTGAACAAACAAGCGTTTAGATGACTTTTCACACACCGGGAAATGAGTCTGTCGTAAACATATTATGTATCAAAGTTTTGACATGCACTGACAAATGTATGGGAAATATAAATTGAATACGTATCAGATAAATTTAGAGAGCGAGTGAGATTAAATTCCTATTTTACCAGAATGAACAAGATTTTTCTTCAAGGTTTCATTATCATACAGCACATGTATTGGGAGTAAGGTAGACTCAGCTAGTAGTTGCTCGAGTTGAAACAAGCAATCCTGCATTTTGTCGCTCAGCTGCTCGAATGCGACTCCTCAGAGAAACGCCACGACTTGTGGAATAATGACTGCGAAAATTTTGTTCAGATTTTAGCACATAATATATTGCATATATAGAATAATCGAAGAGAATAGTGAATACTGTTTAGCTACTCATCACTAAATATTGACATTCCATACACGCACACGCACGCACGTACGCACGCACGAGCACACATTGAAAATATCTATATATTCAATGCAGCCCTTCTGCGATTTTGGGTTCAGCTAATGTTCTGTAAAGAGTTACGCGTCACAATTGTTTTGATCTCGCAAGGTAAACATGGAAGGGGACTTAGAGAAGAGAGAAACTCGACCCTTCATTTTCTGTCCTTTATCTCCCTTATTTTAGATTTGCGCAGTTTTTGCCATAGATGAAAAGTGTCTTAGTTTTCGTCAAGGTATCCATTCCATACACTTATTTTACTGTACGATTGGTTGACATAGGCGGAAAGTTTTCCATAATTTTATTTGCTGTGTTGAAAGAAGGGGAAAGTGCCGCTTCACCTCCTTAGGTGTTTTGATAAACAAACAATTCCAGGAAATCGCACTTGAAAAATATCCCACTACAAAGTCAGTGATATCTAATACTACTACATGTTTTGTTATCACTTGTTTGAAATAAACGAGATGAAAAGATGAAATAGTTTACGTAGTTTCCAAAAATAGATATTGATACACTTGTTGGTCTTTTAAATTCTACCAATTACATTCTTTGTTACAAACAACCTAATATTTTTGCTTCATTCATAAAAAAATACTATTTACTCTATGTTTACATCGAAGTGGCTAACAGATGTACAAAAGTGGGACCCACCAAGTGCACTGAAATAAAATTAATCAACTGTACACACACACACATCCGCACGCACACACACACATCCGCACGCACACACACATACACATAAACTCACACCACACGCACACACACACACAGCTTGAAATTCTTCCCTCTTTACATGCCAAGGTCTGTGCGGCCAGGATGCGAGACATGACCTACAGTTTAATTGTGGCAAGGCATCGTCATTACCCAGAGAACAAAGTGTCATACCGAAAGATACCAAGGTCGAACATCATCGCAGTTACCTTCTTCCCATTTACGAAGAATACCAGCGTATTACTCCGACGTACATCCACCAGCATGTTGGTAATTGATGAAGTTCAAACTTGAGAACTTGTGACACTGACCCTAGGGTGAAGACACCGTCGTCCAGTGAAACACCAAAGTCCACACTGAAACAAACTGAACAGGATATGCGTATGTCCTTCAATCGCTTTGCCAAAACGAACGAGCTGTTGGGTAGTTTTTGTTTACTCGTGTTTGGCCTTTATGACACGTACACTTACACAATTTAACACCGCGCGGAAATGGAACTGGGCAGAGTATCTACAGAAGGTTGTCAAGTGTTATTTTACTTCGTTAGTACACGAAAAATTACACGAACCGGCAACACTACTTGCGTCTGTTCACAAGGCTCACGAGATATTCTGCAATGGCAAACATATGTTCCTTGGCAACTAACGCCATCTGTGGCAATCGTTCGAAACCACATAAAAGATAACAGTTTTTTTTAGAGGTTTGCATAATTCGTCAGTCAAGAATCTAGATATTTGTATGATATGTTTTACCATCTAGAAAAAATGAAGCAGAATAAAAACTGATTCTCGTTTGAAGTATAAAATGTTAAAGGAAAAAAAAAAGTTACAGTATGTGTACATATACATATACATAAGTGTATGTAAATATATATTGTATACATATATGCGTATAGCTATCTATATGTATGTATGTATGTATATATATGTATATAAAATGTATATAAATATATACGTATATATATTGTATATAAATATATACGTATATATATTGTATATAAATATACATATGTATATATATACATATACAGGTATATGTGTATATGTTTACATAAACACATATAAATATATACATCCATACACAGTATCTCTATATATAAACTTATGTACATATATGTATACACAAACACTCGCACATACATTTAACATGTATTTATAGAAAAAATGAAGCAGAATAAAAACTGATTCTCGTTTGAAGTATAAAATGTTAAAGGAAAAAAATGGTTACAGTATGTATACATATACGTATACATAAGTGTATGTAAATATATACTGTATACATATATGCGTATAGCTATCTATATGTATGTATGTATGTATATATATGTATATAAAATGTATATAAATATATACGTATATATATTGTATATAAATATACATATGTATATATATACATATACAGGTATATGTGTATATATTTATATAAACACATATAAATATATACATACATACACAGTATCTCTATATACAAACTTATGTACATATATGCATATACAAACACTCGCACATACATTTAACATGTATTTATAGAAAAAATGAAGCAGAATAAAAACTGATTCTCGTTTGAAGTATAAAATGTTAAAGGAAAAAAATGGTTACAGTATGTATACATATACGTATACATAAGTGTATGTAAATATATACTGTATACATATATGCGTATAGCTATCTATATGTATGTATGTATGTATATATATGTATATAAAATGTATATAAATATATACGTATATATATTGTATATAGATATATACGTATATATATTGTATATAAATATACATATGTATATATATATACATATACAGGTATATGTGTATATATTTCTATAAACACATATAAATATATACATACATACACAGTATCTCTATATACAAACTTATGTACATATATGCATACACAAACACTCGCACATACATTTAACATGTATTTATAGAGACACATGTATATGTATAAGTGTGTATGTGTCTGTTTGTATACCTTGGACCACTGTGACCGTGGGCTGATAACGCGCGCATGTTTTGAGAGGTTTTGAGTACCTATAAGTACTTCTGTAGACTTACGCTAAAGGCTGCATTACAGTCCACGTGTTATCACTTTTTCTTGAGTACTGTGGATAATGCTATAACTATTATTTCCTTTCTTCTTCTTATGCTGTTTAATATTCTCCCTTAAGTAACAATTATGTTTTTTCAGAATAAAGTTATGCATGCTAATGTGTAATATCTTAGAAAATAAGAGTTTGTATACTGGTAAGCAGCCTGCTGGTCTGGTTAGGGCAGTAAATGACTTATTTGTGTGAAGTCTACTGGAGTTACTTTATTTGTGTGAAGCCTACTAAGTTACTTTATTTATGTGTACCTGGAGTAAATAATTATTCTTGGTGCGCACAGTAATTAATTTGTTTATGGTTTTAGTGTTTAGTGTATTAGTATATAGCCAAGTTAATAAAATAGTTCTTTGATTAGTGTGATGCTTAGTTAGATGACTATATTTATTTGTGAGTGAGTCAGGGGCAAACGTTCCAGACATGGCAACTGAAGGAGTTGACTATGCCCTTTAAAGTACTTGTAAGAGTATCATAAATGGTAAGAGCATTTTTACAATACTTGTTAAAACGTAGCGCTTATCAAAATGTGTTTTGAATCTATTTATAGGTATACATTTTCATTATACACATGTTAGTAACTTGTAAAAAAAATGTATATAAAATGACACAAAGTTATACGGCTGTAAAAGATGCAATGTGTTGAAAAGTTGTTCTCCTCTGATGAGCATATGTGATGATGAGCATATGCTTTAGTGTGTTACTTGGTTCAGTTTATTGTCAATCTTTGATACACCATCAGAAAACGGAAATAACTTTCAGAATGACAACGGACGCATTTCAGCCCGGTCAAGAATACGCAGACAGCTGAGCCACCCACCTTCTTTGTCAACAGACCCTCTCGAGCTGGAGCAGAGTGAGGCTTCCTCCAGGTTTGCTCCTCAATGCTGTTCAGTGCCTCCCCTTCGATTTACATCAAAGTAAGGAACGTTGAAGTACAAGCCAAGCACAAAGACAGTTCAAGTGTATCTCGCAACCAGAATAAGGAAAATTAGGGAAATCTGGTTAGTTGCAAGTAGTACAAGACTAGATGTTAAAGGCACTGTGCCTTGGATGTTTTATTAGCGCGGAACTGATACTGGGCATATATTTTATGTAATAAACGCTAAAATGCTCTTAAACGTTTTCGTGTATTTGGCAAATTAAAGATTTTTTTTTTTTTTTTTTTTTTTTTTTTTTTTTTTTTTTAACTTGAATCCTTTTTATTATGAACCGAAAACTTACGAAATTTCGCAGTGATTTATATCATGCCAACCGATTCAACACCAGTAAAGTTGAAATCAGGTTTTGAGTTGTGCTCTCATGGTCTGTCTGTATGTGACCCCTCCTTCAGTCTGCTACATTTTGCATTCCGTGTCCCCCCAAAACAACAACAAAGATTATATACAATTTGAAACCATTTGAAAACACAATCTGAAGTGTATGTAATACAAAATAAATGTTCCGCTCGTATATTTTCTAGCAGCAAATATACGAAGGTATCTAATATAAAAACTAAAGATACCCACTTCCATATATAAAATTATGTACATGCGCATATATATCATATATATATGCGCATATTTTTTCAACGGCCATTCATTCCACTGCAGTAACTCGGCCTCTCTCAATTCATTATTTGAGAGGGTAATTGGCACCTTTGCCTGATCGGATGCCCTTCCTAATCAACCGAGGTTGTGCCACGGCGGCGACCTCCCCTGCGACACCTGTGTCTGACTTCTTAAGGCGATATGTCGTTTAAAATATGCGCATATATATGTATGTATAGATATATTTATATGTACATATATATACAGTACGGATATATATGTATATATATGTATATATGTATACCTATATATACACACACACCATACATATATACTCATATAAATATTCTGAGTACATACACACACACACACATAATGTGTGTGTGTAAGTATATGTCTGCAGATATTTGTACACATACGTAGACACACGTAGACACAAATGTGTATATAAATGTATATATATATATATCTCCGTATACACACATATATTTATGTATATATATATGCATATATACAATATATATATATATATATATATATATATATATATATATATATATATATATATATATATCGATGCACACACACACGGTTTTATATCTTATAACACGTGCAAATACATGCACTGCCACTACTGACTATAATCTAGCCCTTTTACCGTGCAAATCGAGTCAAAATATCTCACTGCAGCGCCATGGCGGAGGAAAGGATTTTTCTGATATTGAAGTTTATCTCCAAGAAATGTCTCTAAGCCGGGAAATAGCCAAGAAAATTCAGTTGCAAATGAAAAGAAAACCTGATAACTTGGAAAACTTTCAGCCCAACTCAAGAGTCAAGTGTTAAATTGAACAAATTGCTTTAAATATGGTTAAACAAGATCGCTCAAAGTCATCCAAGCAACTGGCCAATGAATGGAAGACTGTCACATTGAGTGTAAGCCCTCTACAGTCCAAAAAAGTTAAATGAAATGGGATACCTTGCACGCAGTCCAAGACTAACTGTAACCATGAGGGTGAAACAAATATTTTAGTTACAAATATTACCTCAGACATGATGTTCATATTTGGTTCAAAAGCAAGATGAAAATGTGCTGTTGAAGATGGACTTCAAGAGGGTTTTTATTTGAATGTTCCATTCATCTCGTAATTTGAATTGTTATGTTTATTTGCAGGTTTGTTTCTCTGACCAGTCTACGGTAGAAATACTGATGGACAAGACGAAAATTTGTTCGAAGAACCAACTTAGAGAAGGACCACCCTGATTGCCAAAGAACACTAGTAAAATTCCTTACCAAGGTGATGGTGTGGTCTGTGATCTTTGCCATGGGTATTGGAAGATTAGAGATTGTAAAAGGTAATCTGAATCAAGCTGAATACCGTGACATCATAAATAGACTTCTGCCCCAACTTGAGTGGTTCCCAGATAATGTTTGCATAATCATGGTATCAGAGTGCTTAACTGGCCTGGAACCAGACCAGATTGCAATCATATTGAATGCTTATGGAAAGATGTAAAAGTAGAATGTGCTAACAAAGTTAAGAAAATTGGAGGATTGATAGAGATATGGAATAGATACCAAGAAATCAGGGAAAAGGTACAATTCAGGTATGTCAACACGTGTTGCTGTAGTGATTAAGGGTAAGTGTGGCTATTCTGGTTATCGATATCATGTAAGTCAAATTAGGAAATGGTAAGTTGCTTTCATTTTGGGATACATGTTCTACCAAAAATGGTTGAAACCGCCGGTGGTCTCAATAATTATGACAGTACTGTGTGTGTGTATATATTTATATGTATATATTTACATACACACACGTATGTATGTACGTACATGTGCTTGTGTCTGTGTGTGTAGACACGCATGTCCGTATGTGTGTGATCAGAAGATAGAATGCAAGGACTTTATAGGTATTTAGTAACAAGATGACACATCCCTAGATACACTGTATGTACTATTCTCTTTGTGTCTGTCTCTGCCCTGCCTTTTTCTCAATCTCTATACATACATACATACATATGTATGTGTATATATGTATACTGTATATGCAGATATACGTTTCTATATATATATACACATCGATATACGTTATATATACATATATATGTATATCTGTCTGTCTATATATACACGTAAAGTTATGCTTCCAGGAGCTAGAAAGTGAAAGAAATTGACCTTCCGTGCAGACGAGTCCCGGAGGAGTGTTGGCTGTTCAGTTCCCTCGCCGGCGCTGTGTGATTCGGGTTCGTTTGTAGCAGCTCTTCCTTGTCCAGGGGTGAGTCGCTCTTCCTTCTCGGACACACGCGCGTAGAAGCATTAACGCTCAGTCGAAGACGCTCTGTCTGTCTGTTTCTCTCTCACACAAGCTAACATATTCATACATACGTAGATGTAGTAAATACATATACACACAGTATATACATACACAATGTATACACAATAATGTTTTTTTTGTGGCTTCCTTTTATAGATGGCACCAGACAGAAAAGTGTGTTTGTGAATGAAATGATCGTCTTTCCAGAACATGTCACGTGCGGGATTCCACGCCCTCCTCCTCTTGTCCCTGGTCAGCCTTGGCCACGATGCCTTTGGAAGGAAAATCGAAGGACTATTGGGCCAGGAGCATACTAGAGGGCAGGAAAAAGCAGCTGTAGAAACCCCATCTTCAGCTGGCAGAGAGGATGTGCTGTCACCGCAGGAGCCTGGGCCATGGGCACCGCAGACACAGGGTAGGCTTGAGAACTTGTTCCAGATTTATATCCCTTATAGTTATATATAATCATATTCATATTCCTTGGAATCATAAAGTGATATGTGACGCAAAAGTGATGGTGTTGAGATCACATTCATAATACAAATAATGATTATGATGGCTTTAATGATATTTGTAATAAGAACGGGAACAATAATGTTAATAATATCAAAGTTGATAATGATAATGATTCAAGTGACGATAATAGTACTGGTAATAAGGATAAAATATTAGTGATGTGTAAGAAAAGTTACTAAAAGTATTTTTGTATGCAGATGTTTTGTCACTGCAAGATTTCTAAACACCAACTTGCTATTGCAGTTTATCAACTAAAACATGGAAATAAGAAAATTTATCCTTCACAAATAAGTTGATTTTGACAAAAGAATTTTCGTCATACTAGTATATCCAGTAGTGTGATTTTGTTGAGTGTACCAAGTGTGGCAAGGGTATTTTGTGGCTGCTCTTGCTGTAGCACCAATATGTTCTACAGTGAGAGGGGAAAAATATGCTTACAATATACATATATATATATATATATATATATATATATATATATATATATATTGTGTAATTATTTGTCTATATGTCTATTTATCAACACACATATCGTATATGTGTGTGTTATACTTATATGATTTATCTGAGAGTATCTCTAGTAATTTATTAAATATCATGTTTCCTCACGCTTCTTCAGCAGTTCCAGTTCCAGTGACGTCACATTCAGCTCCGCATGTACCGGTGTTTATGCCAGAATTCACGCGTGCTCCGGACGGCTTAAACGGCTTGTATTTACCCCCTCCCCCTCCCGAACCACCCACTTACTTGATCAAACCATCTTGCAACAAGATGTGCGAGGAGATGAATTCGAAGGGCATCTGCGAGATTAATGGCATGTGTGTCCTCAGTCGAGGACGATGAGCGTTGAGGTCAAAAGGAAAAACTGCTTTGTGTGTTTGTTTAACGTCTTATGCAGAATAGCTTTCGAGTAAACCATTAGTTGCATTTAACGTGACCTTCATATGCTAGATATATGTACGTATATATAGATAAGGTATGAAAAGGGAAACAATGGAGTTTTGAGGAGTGATCAGGTTTTTGTAATTGAATGGCTGCAGAACACAAAAGACCTTCGATGAATGAAAGCAACTTATGGGGAGGATGCCCATTCAAGTGTGGTCGATGATCTGTGGAAACGGATTCTATCCCAGGGTGACCCCAGTCTACCATTAAGAAGGATACCATCCATCAAGTGGAGACTGCCATTTTGGAAGATCGCCGTATTACTGTTCGTCAGCTAGCCTAAGATATAGGACAAAATTATTCATGACCATCTGCATATGCAAAAGTTGTCTCCTCGATGAGTTTTTAGGCTACACACCTTTTTTCAGAAGCAGATCCAGAAACTAAGGCCCCATCAATCAATGGAAGCACTTTGACTCACCCCACTCAAAAAAGTCACATGTCACACCCTCAATAAGGTCATACTCACGCACTTTTGGGACCAAAATGGAGTATTGAGGATAAGTTTTCTGGTTCTACAATTACATGAATGTCTGCCTCCTACAAGACAACGCCCCTGTTCACAACTATGACATTGCCCAGATGGAAGTGTGGTTCTATGGGTACAACATCCTTTCTCATCCTCCTTATTTTCCTTAGCTTGCACCATCTGACTTTCATCTCTTTCCGTCCATGAGGTTACTTTTGAAGGGTAAACACTTCCAAGATGATGAGACACTGATTCTGAAGTCAGTTCAGGCTTCAGATGCACCCTGTGGACATCTACAAAAGAGGAGTCCAAAAAAATGTTGAGAAAAACTAATAACTGTACGACGTCTCATTCCTGTATCTGATGGGAAGTGGGTCAGGGGAAACCTTTTCACTGATATGCTCTGAAATTATATTCCCTGTGTGATATGCATTTTCTGGATTTTCTGATTAACACTTCGAAGCAGTTTTGAATATTTCGTCTTGTAGCACATGTACATATAATTATGGAACTATTAGGCAATAAATAACCACCCCGACAAACAAGGGTAGGTAACACCTGCCACCGTTTGTTATATCACAAATTTACTGAAACTGAATATATGAATGTGAATGTCGTTTTCAACTTAACCATCAGGTATACAGCAAAATAAATTATAACAAGTACAGATTATTTTTATTCTTTTATATTACAGGCATGCTATATTATTCTAGAATGTTTGCTTTGTTTGATATTCTTTAAAGCAAGGAAGCATGCACAAACCCACATTGCACTCTGATGTATATGCCTTCTTTTGTTTTGCGTGGGTGTGGCGGCAAACAAAACACAACTTTTGGGCGCTTGTTTTTTTCGGGAAATTCCTCTCAGTCAATCTCACTGGCAACGATATGCTGGATCGGGGACATCCTGAATGTTTTGCTCGAGGCCCAGAAAACCTATCAATCAGTTGCATTGCTAAATGCAAGCTGAATTCTGAGAGTGTTATTTTCTTTGATTTCACGATACAGGTAAAAGGAATTCAGTGCAGTCACATCCATCAAATGAAAGAAGTGTTTTGTACCACTTCAATGATTTTCTCAAATATCCTATGGTGTTCAGCATTATATCACTCTTATGTACCAAATTCATATAGCAATTATCTAAAATAAAATTTGGCTTAGTCTGTATGCTACTACCTTATTTACTTTTCCAGCCTCGACAATGTTTTTAATATGGACCGTAGGCAATAACATCGCTTTCCTTCGGTCGTGAACCTTCATCGTCATGACACTGTTTGCATGTAGTACGTTTTTATAGTCTTCGTTTTTAGTCTGGAAAACTTCGGGATGTGTTTTCGGAGGCTATCAGGGTTCCACAAGCTCCAGAGATATTTGAAAAGTAGAGGATTGCTATACCAAGTGTCAACAAACAATGCGTGCCCACGGCTATCATAATCTCGTACCAACGTCTTCACTGAAAAGCTAGATATGCCGAGGCTTATTTCTAAATTGATCCCTGTGCCCCTACCTGTATACATTATCATGTCAACTATGTGGCCAGCTTTACAAGCACATACAAGAAAAACCTTCATGCCAAACCTATCCCTTTTCGAAGGGAAATATATTTTTTAAAAATTCGCCTTCTTTTCCACATCAAACTCTCGTCAATCACTAAGTCTTTGTATGGGTAGAACGTACTTTTGAATTTATCTTTCAGGTATTGTAACACTAACCTGGTTTTTATAATCTGATCTTCAGTGTTCTGAATACTTTTTTTTAACGGAATATTCCATTAGGAATGTGAAATCTCTGTTCGTTTCTTCACTTATCAGCTATATCAAAGTTGTGCGAAAAAAAGTGAAGAAATGTGTCACTTTGTGAAGTGCCTAGCCTGCAATCCCGGACCAGTAGCAGCTGTAGCAGGGTCACCTAACAGAGGAAATAAATTAGTAGTAAATCACAGACACAGTATACAAAAAGTGCAGAATATGCTAACTGTACTTATCATAAAATTAAATGGCAAGCTCACCGTTATTTGTTGGTGCAGTACTTTCTTCTGCGACATCCTCCTCCTTAGACAAAAAGGCCAAAAAGGAAGAGTCATAGTTATCCAAGATATCAATCTCTTCTGGAGTTATTGCGAATCTTGGCCGTTTAGGTCGAGAACAATTTGTGTCGTTTTCCCTACTCATCTTGTGCTTTCGGTATGATCTACTGCTAAGCTAAGCTAAGATAAAAGCGTAGACTGCAGAGTGAGTCTAGAAGAAAACTAAGACTGTGACAGGAAGGGAAAGATATATATTAAAGATTAAGATTAAAAGTTAGTTTTTTTTATCAGTTTGTAAGGGTAAGGATTGACCAGACCCTCTCCTTCCAAAAAGAGGTCCAGTACCTGGTTGACCGAACCAAAGCAAGACTGTCTGTCATGAGAGCAATGACTGGGGAACACTTAGGAGCTAGACATAAAGCACTAAGGGCCTCTTCGGCAACGCACAAAACAACTGTTGACGTTTTAAAGAGTAACCACTATGCGAATTAACTCTATAATATTCATCTCAGAATTTGTTCTTGTACCTCCAAATATGCATAAGATTAAAAAAAAAAAAATGCGTTTTATATTTATAGCCTTTTGAATGAAAATTCTGGGCCCAAAACGTCGTCTGCTACAGCTTATAACTCAAATATTACCAGTAGGACCACCATCCCGGGAATGACGTCATGAGTTGTGTTAATTTTCTTTGTCATCGCCGTGAATGCATGGATGAGAACCTTTTGTGTAATATTTTCGTGTGATATTTTGTATGCAAACGATTCTTCTTGCCTAATATTTTCCAGCACCATCTTACTAGTTGGCGGTATGCAGTATATCTATACTTCCTGCAATAAAGAGTGGAAAAAATGAACTTAACTGTATATATTTTTAAAAAATTATTGTGATAGCCAGTTTGAAATAAAAAAAGATGTTCTAGTAATATTGTTATTAATATTGTACAAATTTGTACATCTTTTCTGTGCAACACATGCTTTCCTCTGGAGTTTCACATAACTCACATCTGTCACACTTGCACCTGTAAAAATCAAAATCACAGTTAAGATGTATTTTAACATAAGAATTTGCTAACAGTTAGGGCCAGGCTTTCATCTCGAAATTATGAACCAAATTGAAAATTGAAGTAAATCATTGACCGTGTGTGGGCACAGTGATTTCCATCAATTCATTGACGTCAATAAATTGATATCAATTAATTGACGAAAAAATTGATCGTGTGTGGGGCCCTTAAGGTTTTACTGCCAGTTCTGTCCATGCGTGACGTCATTGTTATGGCTCTACCCATCGTCTATAATGCGCCTGTGCAGGGCATAGTCAACTCAGAAGACTGTCTGTTAGGGATTATATTTTTGATTAACTAGGCCGTCGGCCGTGAGTTAAGATTAAAGTAGAAAGAATTCGTATATCATTATACAATTATTGTTTATAAAGATGCTGCGGAGAAAGAACACGAACATGCTATATAACTGAAAACAATTACTACTTTGGTACTTATCAATCGGTAAATACTGTATTGGAATGAATTCCACTTGCCCTCATATTCACACATACCTTCTAGTGTTTTTACATTAAACGTAAATGGTTAAAAGTTAATCTAAATATCTAAATACATCAATATAAAAAAAAGTCTTTATAGACGGATAATTTCTCGAATGACTGGAAACGGACAAGGCTGACAAATGCTCTTCCCATGGAAAGAGCTCTCTCCGACCTCTGGAAAGTTAATGGAAGCGCAGGAGACGCGATTATTACTGCATCAAGATCAGTACAGATATGAGAAACATGCAAGTTGGTTAGAATGAATGGCGTTGATGCAATTAATAAAAAAATAACGCAAAATGATTTGAAAGTTTCTTATCCTTTACACTGATTACTGTTTAACACAAAAAATAATCAAGATATCGAGCTAATTAACGAAAAATACAATTTGGAAGTGTGTAATGTAATTCCGATGCAGAACAGTTAATAATCCACATAGGAAAAAAATACACAACAATTAATTTCCTTTAGACTGTAGTGCCATAGGTATAATTTTACAACAGCGTAGTTTGTCCGTTTTGATCTCCCGTTTTCCTTTATGAAGTAGAACTGCTTTCAGGAAGGGCATGGTAATCACCCTCACACTGTAACTGTAGGGAGACCTCGGAATGTCATTACTAACGTCATCTCTAATTACCATCAACAATGTAACCCATGAACCTCATATCTGAAGCGTAAAAGGATTCAAATCACGAAAAAAGACCCTGCAATCTTACTGTTGCCATGAAGATGAAAAATTATTGGTTTCTGCGTAGAAAGATGATGCCAGTGTACTATTGTTTCATTAATTACACACAAATAAGTACGCACACACGCACGCACACACACACACACACACATATATATATATGTATGTATATATATGCATAAATATGTTTATACATATAGGCATATATATGTCTTTATATAGACAAATATAAACGATATATAAATATATGCATATATATCTGTATATATATATATATGAGCTCCGTCATCAGACGCAGCTCACCCCGACTTTCCCCATTTTCCATTAATTCGTCGTTGATCTACTATTAGCCTCCTGTCGTGGCGAAAAGCTTTTTATATACGCCGTGGATATTCGTCCGGCACCGTATCTTATCACACTTTGGCTATTCTTCCGGCACGCATGCGCATTAACTATTTGCGCGAGTTTCGTCGTTGTATCTCGTCTCTGTTGGAATATTTTTCCGGCATTTTCTGACGGACACCTATCCTGTAGAGCTATTTTCCCAGCAATATTGCAGGATGCAATTTTTGTTTGCCATTTTATTGAAAATCTCCAGCTTGTCATTATTCGGCAAATTTGTTTGTTTTTGGAGGTCCCCATGTGGAAAATAAATAGCAGAGATAGCAGAGATAGATAGAGGTTGATAGCAGAGGGTTGGGTTGGGTTGTTAGGTTAGGTTAGGTTAGGTTAGGTGGTTATGGTTAGGTTAGGTGGTTATGGTTAGGTTAGGTGGTTTGGTTAGGTTAGGTCGTTTAGTTAGGTTAGGTGTTTAGGTTAGGTGGTTAGGTTAGGTTCGTGGGTTAGGTTAGGTTAGGGGGTTAGGTTAGGTTAGGTTAGGTTAGGTGGTTAGGTTAGGTGGTTAGATTAGGTTAGGTTAGGTCAGGTCTTATTTCTGCTGGACAATCTTGTCTGAATGTGCTTAAAAATGATAAATATCAGCATAGCAGATCAGCATACTGTAGTTACAAGACTGTTAAGTTTGGTCTTTGTGTAAGTATCCTACAGAAAAATCCAGATCCACAACCATAAAAAATGGCGCCAACGTTTGTTTTGATGATTGCGCAAGCGCGAGCGTGTGTTCGTGCGCAAATAGTTAATGCGCATGCGTGCCGGACGAATAGCCAAAATGTGATGAGATCCGGTGCCGGACGAATATCCACGGCGTTTTATATATTCACACGAAATTGTCAAAGGCTCGGCGTAATAGTCACCGCTACAAGTTAGAGCATGGGATCCGCGTTAAAGAAAATTATACTTTTGGGAGGACTATTTCATTTTAGGGGGATTTGTTTTGAACAGTTTATCTATCCATTAATTTTCTAGGCACGATCCCTTAGCCATTTTGATGGTTTTGGTATATATTCCGTT